TATTTTATGGCCTATAATATTGACCATTAAAAAGATTTTTTTAAAAAAAAGTTAAGAGATGCAGAGATATGATATGCTTAGGTTGATGAGTGACTTTAAACTTAGAGATAGAATGTAAAATGATTATATATGTGAAAAATTTTTAGTAGCTCTAGTGGTAGCTAAGGTTTGAGAGAGTCGTTTTAGAGGATTTGGTCACATAAAATATCAGCCTTCTGTTCGTCCGATTTGGAGATGTGATATTAGATTGATTTATGTTATATGAAATATAGAGGTAGTCCTAAAAAGACTTGATTAGAAATTATTAAAAATGACCTTAATTTATTAGATTTAAATGAGAATTTAACTCTTAATAAGATCAAATAGAGAAAAAATGATCTATGTAGTCAACCTTATATAATGGGATAAAATTTTGATGTTGTTGTTAGAATTGTTTATAATAATTTTTTATTACAATTTTGAATTTATTATTTTTTATTCAAATCATTCAAACTATGAATTTTTTACCCGTTCCAAACGGCTTTCTTATTACTTCTTGAAGAAGCTTTTTGGTATAAAAATTTTATTTGTTGTACTGAAAAGCTGCTTTAAGAAGCAGCAACAAAGTCGTCCCAAACAAAAATCACCCAACTGTGATGATGGTAGCGAATGCAAATCCATGATGCTAATCTGTAATTAAGTTTTAAGCATGATTAGCAATGTTAATTTGGAATAATTGCAGGCGGCGCTGCCACAGGGGATCGTTCCTTTTGTGTTCGCGAAGGAGTACGGCGTCCACCCTGACATTCTCAGCACGGCGTAAGTAATTTTTTTAAAATTTATTAGCATAAATTATTTATATATTTTATATACAATTTAAATATTTAATATTCTTATATATCAATAAGGCTTATTATTTAATATTGTTAATAAAAAATATTAATCCCTGTTAATAATTTGATTAATTTATATGCCTTATTAGGGTTATATTTGGGATGCTAATTGCTCTGCCTATAACGCTGGTATACTACATTCTGCTGGGCCTGTAAAGCAACAATTTTCCAGTTCAGAGAGCGGCAAAGGGGATTAGAAGATGAAGGAGATAGGCAGAGAGGAAGCATGGCGAGCATCAAAGCAGCAGAATTCTCAGAAAGCAGAAGAAGAAACTGACCCGCCCGGCTCTGAATTGGGCCCAGCTTTGTTCCCTTGGATCGACTTCTTATTCTGTAAAATGCTATATATATTTTTTTCTCTCTCTCTTCCTTTCTGCTAGCTATTGAATCTCAGATATCATTTTGTTGCTTTCATTTGAATTTCTTCTTATCCTTTTGTTTTTCTTCTTGTTTCATTAAACTTCTGTGCTGATTATTCACATATATAGTTTCATGCTGTTATTATATAGAAAGGGGAATATTATTAAATGAGAATAGATCATAAATTTATTATGTCTTATGTGTAATTTAACCTTTTCTATGAACTTATAATTATAATTTAAGTTAAAGAAATAAATAAAAGATGAGTTGTGCTCTTATTTATTAAATTATTGATGGGCATTGTAACATCAAAATGTAAAATATATGAATTATTTATTTAAAATTTAAATTTATAGTTTTATTTGAATATCACATTGAGATATAATTAAAAACTATTCTTCATAAATAAAGGTTTTTTTGAGGGGAAATTATTATGGGCGGTCACCGAACCGTCCGGAGGTGAATCAAGATGTGTCATGTCACCCAGTACATAGAGGTACACAACAAAAAAGTGACATGAAGCGTCCTGATTTACCTCCAGACAGTGTCCGATGATTGCACATAATATTTTCTCCTTTTAGGGATAGAGTTTTACCATTTTGCTTTTCTAATAATAATCATAATTTCGATTGTTTATTATTTTTGACAATTTTTCACAACTTTATTTTTCGTATAATAATCACAATTTCATTTAGCTAATATTTTTTTTGTTGTATTTCATTACTTTTTAAAATACATTTTATTATTTTTCAAAAATTGATGTAACTTTCTCATTGTTTTATTTTTCAAACAACCATCACAATTTTATTTGGCTAATATTTTTTGTTGTATTTTTATTATTTTTCAAAATCATTTATGATGAAAAGTTATTGTTTATAATCACAATAGTTAATTTACTTTTTAATAGTAACCTTATAATTAGCTTTAAAAGCATTTTTGAAAATTGGAGATTAAAAAAAAAAAAAGGGAATAAAAGGGCGGAGGGCAAAGAAGTAATTAAAACGATGATGGAGGAAGGAGTGGGTGATGTGGTCCAGGCACAGGATGGTATGGCCTTGGTGCCGGGGATGATGCCGACTCCATTGGTATTATGCGAAGACAATATGGGCCTCCCCATCGCCATCCCATTAATTTTTGTTTAGTTAGTGCTTCTTTGATAAGAGCTGATGTCAACAAATTAAATTTTAACTTTATAGATTTTTTCGTAAAGTTTCTGCGTACATTGTAGAGATGTTATTTTCAATAAATAAAAATTAGTATTTAGAGCTGGCATTTTAATATATTATCGGATGCTCGAATGATGGATGGATATTATTTTTATTTTTTTATTTTCTTTATGAGAATAAAGGGAAGAAAAAAACTTATGATCAATAAGAGTGATAAAGAAGGGCACATGCCTCCACATGATGATGATGATGGAGTCGTGCAAGCCATGAGTCATATTCCTTGTTTTTAGGGACCTTACTACGCTACACCGAATAGGTCAAAAGGAATCTACAATTGCTGCTCTTCCTCAAAGAAAATCAACATCTTAAATACAATAAATCATTGGATTTTGACAGTATATTTTATTTTATATGCACATAATGTTAGTATACAATACTGCATTATTAGGCATTAGGGCATCTCCAACCGAAAACTTCATTTTTGAGAAGGTAATGATCGCTCTCCCTTTCGCGCCTTTTTCCCGTTGAGAGCAAAAAATGGCGTAAGTGAACAGTGCGACGCCAATAGCACGGTTCACCTGCGATTAAATGGCGAAAACTTTCGCGTTCGGTTGGAGCGACCGAACGACTCCATACACTCGTTTAGCGTTCAGTTGGAGATGACCTAACAAAAATTAGTATAAAGTCTGGAATTAAAGAAATTGTCTTGTGTTGAGCCTGGAAGTAAAATATTGTCTAGAGACCAACCAGAATATGCTAGATAAATAGTAATGAGCCATAGTACGGAGTAGTACCGAGCAAGAGGTGACGTGGTGTATTCTTGGTGGTCTCCAGACAGTGTTCGGGATCGACATAGAATAATCAATCATGAAATTCTAAAAAATAAAAAGTATATAAATAATATTTTTAATATACTATACATAGAAGTTATGTCTCTGATTTTGAAAGTAATAATTTATTTTTTAAATAGGGGTTTTTGAATAAGAGGAGGGTTTAAATGCAATTTTAGAGGATAATAGATGTAGTGATAATGGAGAATTCTTTTTGATAGGATGTCAATAGTTTTAAAATTTTAAGATATATTTGGAGATAAATGCAATTGATGATCAAATAAAATTTGAGGGATATATATATAATAAAAATTGTTAACAGCTATTCAAGAAAATACTGTTCTTGACAAAGTTACTATTTACAACATGCCTAAGTTTTCGTTTGAGATTTTTTTTTTGTTTTTTAAATAGCATTTTAGTATCCAAATTTTTAGTTCAAGAAAAATATATACTAAAAAGTTGTTAAGAAATAGTATGAAAACTGTCCCAAATGAAAACTAAATTTGATAAAAATTTGATGAATTTTGGAATTTTTGTTTATTATAAATATTTAATAAAAAATAAGTAGAAAATATTTAAGATATCGAAGCCTCAATCTCTTTATCTGGAATCTTATATATTTAAAAATTTTCAGTCAACTTAAAATTAATTTTTAATCTGATCCTAAAAATAATCATTTTAAATTGGTTAAGTTTATTTAAAAATATTATGCAAAAATTTTCTAACCTAATTTGCGTTAGGATCAACTTAGCAGCCCTTGAATTCATAATGAAGAGTAATAACATAACAACAAGCTTTTATCCAACTATGTCGGATCAAATATAGGGGTGCAAACGAGTCTAGTCGAGTTCGAGTCACTTTTAACTTGAGCTTTAGCTTGATTAATTAATTGATTTTGAGTACCAGCTTTATTTTACGTGTTCAAGCTGGCTCACGAGGCTACTCGTTTATTATAAAAGAAAGAAAGTGATTATTATCCAAGCAATTATAATAATAAAATGATTTGAATGATGTGAAATTAGAACAAAAATAATAAATAATAAATAATCAATTGAAATAAGAAAGAAGAATATAAATTTTAAACAAAAATGTTAATATGCTTTGTCCATTTTATATTAATATCTTTAAAATGACTCGGTCACAAGCTTGCAGGTTAAGTCAGAGTTGGCTCAAACTTGACTAGTTATCTCATCTAGTTCTTCTCACGAGCCATTTATTGAGTCGAGCCCAAGCCGTCCCACGAGTTGGCTTAATTCACATACACCTCTAGTTGGGTACATGAATTCTTTCTCTTTATTGTATCCTATTATGAGTCAATTTTTTATTTTAATCTACCAAAAAAATTATTTTTAATCTATCTCGGCCTTTCTTTATGTAGGCATGATCTAATATAGTCTCTTAATGTTGAGTTTAATAATTAAATAATATTACAGAATAATATTAATTATAGTTGATATATCAGAAAAATTTATCATGATTAAGCACAATTTTCGAGGCAAAATCAAGTTTGAAACTCTCAAAATTGAATCTGGGACCATCTTAACTTTGATTTGATCAGCAAATTTTTAGTCGAACTAAACAGCTTGAAAAGACAAACCCAATGACACCAAATTTGACTCAATTTGAGCTCAAATGGCACCAAATCGAGGAACCGAAGCGCATTTAGAGGGTTCAACTATAAATTGGATGAACGAACTTAACTAATTACATATAGTTGAATCTAGTGGCTCGACGAGACTAATTCAACGAGCCAGAGATTTTTAAATTTTAACATCATTAAGGCACTCCAATACTCAATAAACGGTCCATAATTAAAGGAGTTGATATCGGCTGTCAATTTAAAACACGCTAACATGCTCTTGATCTCCTCCCTATTTATTGGCTATGCCACTCTGAGAAAACTATAAATAAACTCTTTATTCCTCATGAAAAGGAGAAAGCATGTGAAGCAAGGAAGAGAAGGGAGAGAGAGAGAGAGAGAGAGAGAGAGAGAGAGAGAGAGAGAGAACCACCGTCCTTCGCTGGACTTCTGCCTTGCCATCGAAAGACGCCAGACTTCAACCTGGCCATCAACTGACACCGAACTTCTACTCGGCCACCGACTGATACCAAACTTCTGCCCATCTACCAATTGACACTGGACTTTCGCCCGACCACCGATTGTCACCAGACTGTCGTCAGACTTACTCCTAACCACCAATTATATTCGGACTTCCCCCTGACAAATGTCGCCAAACTATGGTCTTTATGACCACCGTCTCCCACCGATTACGGTCGAAATCCTTTCGACCTCCATCATTGGATATTGATCATTCTAATCACTATCACCCATCGACTACAGTCCTTCCGTCCTCCATTGCCAGACTATAGCTTTTCGACCTCTATCACTCGTCGACTACGATCCTTGCGACCTGCGTCTCCAGACTATGGTGTGTCTGACCTTTGTCACTAGCCGACTAAAGTTCTTCTGACATATGTTGTCAAACAACGGAGTTTTGGACCTTCGTCGGCCGCCGACTACGATCCTTCCGACCTCCGTCGCAAGACTACGATCTTTCCGATCTCCATCGCTCGCCGACTATGGTCCTGTCGACCAAATGAATATGTTAATATTGATTCGTCCAATTCCTACCATGTAATGAATTATATCTAATGTATATTTGCTACATTAAGTAAATGTTCTTCCCCTAAGAAAACGGTCTCGTTTGTAATTGATTGCAAACACTAGAGGATTCATTCAAACTGAGCCTGGCCACCTGGTTTTTTCCCCTTTTTAGAAGTTTTCACGTAAAAACTCTAGTGTCTCTTATAAATGCTCCACTCTCTCTTTTATCTGATTATCTGATGGATTTTCGTACAAAGTTAAGACATTCACTTTTATATTTCTCTATCGCTGGAAAAATTTCAGGATACAACAGTAGTATAAATCTAAGAATTTTTAAACCCATCTTGATAGGAATTGTATAATAATATGCTTATAAAATATTTTTCTGATTTTTTTTTTCTAATATGAGAATTAAATAAATTTTAAATCGAACTGAGTCCTCTACTTTTGAATTGAGGCGAGCAAATCTTATTAGAACTCTAACTCTCTGT